TGTCTGCAGACTTTCCGAGGTGTTACAACTGTGGGGGTGGGGGTGTCACTGACATCTATCGGGCAGAGGCTAGGGTGGCCTCCGAGCATCCTATAGTACAGAGGACAGCCTACCACAGAGAATGACGTGGTGCCAAAGTCAGGAGTAATGGAAATCGTCTGGGAAATCCTGTCTGGGAAAGCCAGCCCCAGGCCCCTCACCTCCTTAAGGGACTGGAAGGAGAATCTACCTGGCTTCCTGGCCTGATCATTTGTGACCTGCAGGGTATTTTTAGCCTCTGAGGGAGGGGCACTGGCTATTCTGAGTTTTTTTTTTTTTTGGGGGGGGGGAGCCAAGGCTATTTTTGGCCTCGGCATCTATTCATTGAATTTCTATCTTCCCCCCAATTTTGGAACAGGAGGCAGGGAAGGCAGGGTTTTTTTTTTTTTTAGAGTCAGGATCCTGCTCCGTCACCCAGGCTGGAGTGCACTTGTGCAATCATAGCTCCCTGCAGCCTCAAACTTCTGGGCTCAAGCGATCCTCCCACCTCAGCCTCCTGAGCAGCTGAGACTACAGGAGCATATTCACGACGCCCAGCTATTAAAAAAAATTTTTTTGGAGACGAGTCTTGCTGTGTTGCCCAGGCTGATCTCAAATTCTTGGCCTCAAGCAACCCTCCCACCTCGGCTTCCCAAGTGCTGAGATTACAGGTGTGAGCCACCACACCCGGGCCAGGTAAGACTTCCTGAACACACACTGTGGGCCAGCGATGACGGCTGACACCTGGGATTCCCAAAGCAAAGCAAATCACAACATCCTCGCACACTTGGATCCCCCTCGCAGACACAAGACAGTAAACAAACAAGCACAGAGCATCAGGAAATTACAGACTACGTGAAAAGCCATCCGCTGTACTGCACGTCAGGAGAGGGGCGGGAAGCTGCGACTTTGCAGAAGGTGCCTGGCAGTAAACGTTACTGGGGAGGTGATATTTCAAGAGGGTGGGGGAGAAAAAGCCTCGCAAATATCTAGGGGAGGGTCCTAGGTGGCAGAACAGCCAGTGCAAAGGCCCTGCGGTAGGATCACGCTTGGCACATTGGAGGAGCAACGAGGAGGGAGGAGGTGGCCCAGAAAGACCGTGAAGGGCCAGACCCCAGGACGGCCCAAGCCTGTGTGGGCTACTACAGTCAGAATTTGGGGCTGCCCTCGAAAAGGAGACACATGCCTTCTCCCCAACTCGCATGACAGGAGAGTTTTGCTTTATTGTTTTGAGGTTTTTTGGGTTTTTTTTTTTTTTTTTTTTTTGAGACTGAGTCTCGCTCTGTCACCCACGCTGGAGTGCAGTGGCGCAATCTCGGCTCGCTGCAACCTCCGCCTCCTGGATTCAAGCGATCCTTCCGCCTCAGCCTCCCTGGTAGCTGGGATTACAGATGCGCACAACCACATCTGGCTAAATTTTTGTACTTGTAGTAGAGATAGGGTTTCACCATGTTGGCCAGGCTGGTCTCGAACTCCTGACCTCAGGTGATTCACCCGCCTCAGTCTCCCAAAGTGCTGGGATTACAGGTATGAGCTACCATGCCCAGCCGATAGGAGAGATTTGACAGAAACCCCATATGTGTTGCAAGAACGTGAGCTCCACGAGGACAGGACGTGGCCACCACCCTCCATGGCGCCACCCATATGGCGCTGGGTAGGGAAAGCACTTGACAAGTGTGTGCAGACTGCATGACGAGGTGCACCCAGCCTTGCTCAAAAGAGTCCTGAGCACACAACTGCAGGTGCACACAAGATGCAGACAGTCCCATGTGTGCACACAGACAGCTGCTCCTTCTTGCAGCCCTGAGTCCCCCAGCATGACCACCCCCTCTGCAAAACACAAACACCAGCACACGAGGGACCCTTATGAACACCGGATGAGCCTGATAAGACACGTGGCCACATGCGCCCTTGGCTAGATCACCATCCAGGCCACACAGGTAGACGACACCAACGCACAGGTGCAGACAGACAGACATCTGGATTCTGGGGACACCGGGACCCCCTCCATGTTTCTACTTGGCCTCCCGCCTCACTCTAGGACCCGTCTCTTCCCTTCCACCAGGGTGCCCAATAGCAACCACTCTGCCCCAAACCCAGCTTGGGAGGAGCTGTCTGTCTTGCCACGGCACCCCCAGGGTCACTGGGGTCAGGGTTTCAGACCCAGGGAACCCCCGCCTCGGGAGTCCCTCCCCCTGCCTCCCCATGGAGGAGCTGGAGGAGGGGAAGCGTCTGGCATCTGGAAATCAGATCCGTGAGAGGAACCCACACAGAAACCAGAGCCTTGTGTGTCCTTGGCCACACGTCTCGCCGGGGAGGCAGGAGGGGGTGGAGGGCAAAGACGATGCTCTGGCGGGGATGGCACTGCTCCCACTGCTCTGGTTCCTCTTGAGGGGTACCCGCTGCCACCCTCCCCACCGAGATGCCTGCACTGGGGCTGAAGCAACACACGTTCTGCCACCAGCCTGGCAGGGTAGGGAGGACGCAGATGCCCCGAGACACACGCATCACGCAGCCTCGCATGCAGGTGGAGACGCCACCGGCCAGGAGCCCAAACCGCTGGATGCAAACACACTCCCGAGCAGCTGAGGCGCCTGTAGGCTCCTCCCCAATGTGTCCACAGGGTCCTCCTAGGTCCCCCAGGAGAAAGGGCTCCCCTGGGCAGGCTGGGAATAGAAGCTGGGCTTCAAGTCCCTGCCTTCCCCTCCCTCCCTGTAGGCTCCACAGCCCAGGTGTGCTGGTCCCCAGCTCCCCATCCTCCCCAACCCTGCACGCCAGCTACACCCCCAAGAGCAGGCATCAGCATGGGTGATCACCGGGTACGCAAGCCCCCCAGAAGTGGGGATTGAGACGGGTGCCCCTTGGAGAGAGAGCGAGCGCCTGGAGGGGCGTCCCAGGGCAGGTGCTACACACACAGGGTGGACTGAGCGAGGCCATGTGGGAGGTCACCAAGCTAGGGAGGAAGATGGTGGCAAGACCAGCAGGAGGGCCGGCACCCACATGTGAGTGCACACGTATGTTGCACGAGTATGTGGCTCCGTACACGGGTGCGATTGCTGCCAGCCATGGAATTAGTTCCCTTTTCCGAATTCCAGATGATTTTTCATCTCTGTAATTAATGGGCAAGTCAGTTCTGAACGGCATGGCAGGCAAATTGCTAGTTAGGAAAATCACGGATAATTTTCTCGATATGATAATGAACGTTGGAATCCTTCTCTTATTCTCCCTGTTTTCATCCTACTTTTAAGTAATAAATTTGGCATTAGTGGGAGGGGAGCAGGGAGGAAAGAGAAGTCACCTGGCCCCCAAAGCTGGGGCCTGACAGGGGCCCACGCAGAGTCCCCTGCCCCCCAGGCCGTGGGGCAGATTGGAGAAGAGAATGAGGGGTGTGGACCCTCCGCGGGGGTGATCAATTCAGGGGTCCAGGCCCTGGAGAACAGGTGGAGGGCAGGGAGCTTTCAGGCTGTGAGCCAGGGTGAAGGAGTGCGGTCTGGGGTCAGGTTAGACTCATGCCAGCCCTTGGGGTGTTGGAGAGAGAAGCAGAAACCAATAGCCTGTCCCCAAACAGCACGGAGGTCAACGGTCCGGAATAGACATTCACCCTCAGGTGTGCCCCACTAGGTCCAACCTCCTCTAAGCGGTGACTCCATACCAGGCTAAGGGAGCCGGGCAAGCAGAGAGAGGGGGAGAGAGAGAGATATAAAGACAGAGAGAGACAGAGAGAGAGAGAGAGAGAGAGAGAGAGAGAGAGAGAGAGAGAGAGAGCGCGAGCCAGCCATCTTGGCAGCCATTTTGAACCCCTCCCCCTCCTGCCCCCAGGCACACATGTTGGGCTGTTGGATGTGGGAAGACAGACCCCAGCTCTGAGTCCGGTGGAAGCCAGGCAGAAAGGGGGGCCCTGCCTGGAACTGGGATAGAGACACCCACGCAGCTGCCATGGGTGGAGGTGGATGGGGGTTGCAACAGGAGGAAAGGGTCCAGGCAGGTACAGAGAGATGCTGGCCAGGGATGGGGCAGTGTGAGGACCCGGACTCCAAGTGTAGCGACAGGGGTGTGTGTAGCCAGCGGCTGTCATCAGATGGGGGCCAGGGGTGCACTGGAGAGATACCTGGGAGGGTACTTTCTGGACACGGCTGGAGCAAACACAGCACCCCCCCCCCCACCCCACCACTTCAGGCCTGGACTCGGGTCCCAGGACCGTCATATGGGAGGATGACAACCGAACCTTGGTAGCTCAATCAAATGCGCACCTGGGGTGGGGGTGGGGAGTTGTCCTCAAAGCACGAATAATCCCGGTGGATCAAACCTGCCGGCCTCCCGTGCTTTAACCCGGCACCACGGAGAGAAGGTGCTGCCCGGCTGCACCCCCTCCTCCTGACAGCGGCGCCCCCCGGACTGCGGCCAGCTCGACACCCTGACAGACCCCTCCCCATCCCCCGCGCCACTGCCTCCCAGAGAAAAACAACCCCCTCGCCCAGCATCTTGTGGTGCCAGCCACGGCTCCTCCGAGGCCCGGGACCGGCGCGCGGCGCGCACACGCACCCCCTCCGCTCACACCCAGACACCTACACAAACAGAGCGCCAAGCACCCGCGCGCACACGCACCGGGGACACGCAGGCACCGCCGCGCCGCTTCCCCACAAAGGCTGGCGCGCGCGCGGGCACACGCAACCACGCGCGGGCACACTCGCGGTCCCCTCCCCCCGCCAGGCACCCTGCGGCCGCCCGTCCGCACCCCCGCGCCCCGGGCGCTCCGTGGGGGCCGCCCCTCCCGGGCCCCTAGCCAGTGGGGGTGAGCTGCGGGCTGCCCCCCACGCCCCTCCCGCTCAGGTGCAGTGCCCCGCGCGGCTCCAGCGTCCCCTCCCCCCTCGCGGCCAGGACAGGCCCCGGCTCCCATCCTTCCCGCCTCCCCTCTTCCGCGCGCCCCGCACACCTGGCCCAGGTGCGGCGTCGCCCCTCGCCCTGGGCCCGCAGACACTCACCTGTCCAGCGCCGCTCTGGGGTCGGCCCAGCGTGTCTCTCCTGCGGCTCCGCGAACCCGGGCCCCCCGCCCGGCACATCTCCCGGAGCCGGGGCTGAGGGGAAGCGGATAGGAGGTGGCGGGGCGAGGGCGGCCTCCGTGTCCCTTCCTTCCCCTAGCCCAGCACCGCCGCCACCGACCAAAAATTAAAAAAAAAAAAAGAAAAAGAAAATAAAAAAAAAAGAGGCGGATTACACGGAACCAAAGGCGGCCCCCTCGCGGCGGCGGAGGCTCGGGACTGGGGGCGATCGGGTCTGCGCCCCTCCCGGGGAGCGAGGCGGTGGGGCGGGGGCGGCGTCAGAGCACTGGGGGCTGGGGCGAGGCGGAGCGCCCCGAGGCGGCGCCGGCAGCGGCCCGCATCTCCCCCGCAGCTCCGCGGCCCCGACGGAGGCGGCACGTGTGCGCCCAGGCGACTTCCCAGCCCCCTCCGACGGCGGCGGTGGCCGAGGGGTTAACGGGGCAGCCGGGGCGCCCCTGCAGGCCTCCGCCGCCCGGCGGCGCCGCTCCGGGGCCCGCGCGGCCCCATCAGCCGGGACCTCCTCGGCAGACGGCGGGGCGGGGGCGCCGCAGCGCCGACAGCTCCCGCGCCGACGGCTCGGGCTCCCCGCAGTGGCCGCGGGGGGCTCGGGTTGGGGGTGGGCGGCGCGGAGCTGGCGGAGGGGGGCGGCGCGGCTGGAGGCGGGTGCCGCGGCGTCGCGCCCCCGGTGCGGCCGGAGGGGGGGCGCCGGGCCGGGCCCGTGGGCACCGCAGGACGCGCGGACCGAGCCGGCGCCGGGCACCAGCAATGACAAGCCGCCTGCTCGCCCCGCTCCCCGGCGCACCCGCTCCGGGAGGGGGGCGGCGGGCGCGCAAAAAACCCGGCCCGGAGTCGCCGCCCGGGACTGGCCGCCGCAACCCGCCTGAGCACCCCAGGAGCCGGCCCGAAAACCCGGGCTGGACTTTCCTTCCCTTCGACTCCTCTCGCCTTCTCTCTGGAAAAGCAGGGAGAAGGAAGGCGACGTGCTGGAGCCCCGCGTTGGAGCGGGGAGTGGGGGAAGGGAGACAGACGTAAGGAAGACCCGGAGAGGATTTTCCAGCGAAGTAAAAGGAAAGGCGCCGAGCCCGGGAAGGAGGGCGCAAATGGGGAGATCTGGAAGGGTTGTGCAAAACCCGAGCTGGATTAGATAAAGATGTGAGGAACGGGTGTTGGGGTGGGTGGTTGGGGGGTAGATGCGACACGGCCAAATGCACCCGGGGCACGCAAATTTCGGGCCGGATTCTTTCTCGGGAGACGGAGTAATGCGTCAGGCCTAACGCAGTGGAAACAAGCAAGACCCGGCCCGGAATTCCCGGGACCTGGGTTCGCATGGGAAGGGTGTTCTGGAAGGGGGATGCTTAGTGTCTGAGGCGACTTGGGTTGCCCTCATCTTCCTGGCAGCGACGTGTAAGGGGGAGGGGCAAAAGGAGGGCTGGACTCGGGTACGAAGGGATTCGGCGCGCTGGCTGCACCGGAGCGGACAGGTAAAAGCGGTTTCTGGATCCAGGGGCGCTGCGAAGGGAATGCGTTGAGGCCGGTACCCTGGGAGACCAGACCTACAATAAAAGGCGAGGGAGGCACGCAAAGCCAGGACTGGAGCGCGCGGGACGGGATGAGACCCTCAGCAGAAGATCCTGGGCCACCGAGACAGGGGCTTGGAGCTGACCGGGCAGGAGGGGCGGAGGGAAGCGTTAGGGGGAGGTTTGTATCTATAAACGCCTCAAAGTCTTGCTTTTGGGGAGGGGGTGCGGGAGAAAAATTGAATTTTATGTTCTCTGAAAGAGTAAAAACCCGGCATGGATTTTCACCACCTAACAACTCCATTGCAGCTGGTGGACTTAGAGAAGTAGGGCAAGAAGCAGGCTTGGGTTCCCAGGCATCAGACCAAGTGAGGCGAGGAGCAGGTTTCGGATTGAGGCTGCAGAGGGAGCCCCGGGACCCCCTCTCTGGGGTGGGGAAGGCTGTTGGACCCGGCTTTGCTCTCCGGAGAGCCAAAGTTACGACTGCCAAGACCTATAGCCGGGGCTATAAAACCGGGCCCCAAGCCAAAAATAGACACTTCGGCAACTTTATGCAGGGTGGGGGCTGGAGGGAAATGGAAGTGGGGTACAGACTCCTGGAGTGGAGGGAACAGGGGGGAGGGGGTGTCCCTGAAGCGGGGCTGCTGGCTCCATTTTATGAAAGATGGGTGCAACGGGAAGACTGATGGCTGGGGAGGAGCAAAACCCGGGCTTGGATCCTCAGGGAAAGGAATCCATTCAAGTGAGGCCTAAATGTTAAGGCAGACAGCTCAAAGTTCAAAGCTGGCCTGCATCTTAGCAGCAGGGCAGACAAATCTTGATCTGAGTTTTAGAGGAGGGGGACTGGCTGAGGATGGGGATGGGGGAAACCGCCAGTCCAGGGAAGAGAGTGCATTGCTCACCAGGCACTTTGCAGAGTGAATGAGGAACGAGAAAAGGATTCCTGAGTAGGAGTGGTAAATCCACAAAACTTGAAGCGTTATCTGGATGGGAAAAAATGAGTATCTAAGAAAGCCTGAGTTGAATATCTGCACGGGAATGAACTTGGGCTCTAAGAACTCCTTCCTAGAAGCATGTCCCTGTGGCTAAACTGGAGGAAGGGCAGGGACACCAGACTTCCAGGCTGGCCGGGTGACCACATGCCACTGTGTGGCAGCCTGTCACCCTCCACCGCCTTCTATGGACAGCTGTCTTTTCAGTACTGGGAAGGGATTCTTAAAAGCCAGAACCTAGGCAAATCTGGCCCCAGAGAACTTCAGAGTGGAGGGATGGGTTACTTTCATTCCTCCTTCATGCCCAGGATTTCATGGCTGCAGAGCAGTCCAGCCTTGAATCTGGGTGACCAAGCTGGACACCTGGACCTGGGGGACCAAAGGGGTATAAAGTAGGAGTTGGTGAGTGCAAAAAGGATCCCATCCATCTGTGGTTGACTGCAGATCCACTGGGTATGGAGGAGGGCATCCCATCTCTCTATGCCTCAATTTCCCACTTTGAGATACTGACAGCACCAAGTAAGACCCATAAAGGCCTTGAGATGCTGGACACTCCAGGCAGCCAGCTTTCTATAAACCCAGCAGTACCGAAAAGGGAACAGAACTTGACGCTCAGAAAAAGCTGGTCACCTCCTTGTTCTCTCGCTCCAGGCCTTCTGCCCCCACCCCACCCTCCAGCCCTGAGCAGCCCATCCACTTCCCCCTACAGAGCAAGCCTAGGATGTGGTTCTAACTTGCATTCTCCAGAGGCTGCGAGAAAGAGTAGCCTTTACTTACATGAAGAAAAGCAACAACATTCTTTAAGGCACCCTCAGCTCAGTTTGAGAAACCCCAGCCGGAGCCCCCTCACCCCCACCCCTCACCCCTTTCTAGACCCTCTAAACCCCCCTGGTCTCAGCTGGGATCGGTTCTCCAGCCTCCATCTGATCCATGTCTCCTGGACTTGTGAGCGGCGTGCTCAGCAGGCAAAGAGTGCGAGGAGACTGGGGGGCGCGTAAAGAGCCCTGGCGCCCCTCAGACCTTCGGCTGCGCAGCCGCAGTGGAGGCCGCGCCAGCAACTGGGCTCCGGGAACCAAGGCGTCCGCGCGCGCACGCAGACTCGCCTGCGCGCCGCGTGCCCCGCGCTGCCCGGGTCTGTACCCGCGCTTCGGACACCCTGCTCCCAGGGCGCTCCTCGCTTCCAGCCTCCCACCTTGCCTTGGGATCCCCATGAGCCCCGCGCCTGAGGCATCCCACGCTCTGTGCATTCCGTCCCACGGGACCTCCACGCCCACGGTGCCACGCGCCTCGAGTACCCCATGTTCTGTGAACCCTGCACCCGGACGCCCCACCTTCTGTGCACCTTGTGCTAGAGAACCCGCACGTCCAGGGTGCCCTATGCCTAGGGCACCCCGTGTTCTCCTGCGTATCTGGGACTCCACATTTTGTACCCCCAGCATCTCCAGCATCCCAGCGTCAGACACAGTTGGGCTCGCCTGTGCCTTGTCTGTCCCCCTCTCTGTGTCTTCCATGTTTTGCGCCCACCGCCTCGGTTGGGCCCCCAGCCTCACCATCCTGAAGGCTCTGCTTCGCCCCAGTGCTCAGCTTCCCTTTACCTCAGGCCCAGCGCCCTGCCTCAGGCTCCTGGACAGGTCAGGGCAACGCCAGACAGTCACTGCCCACCAGGCGCCCCCAGCCCGTGTTTTCCTATAGCTCACTCGGTATAGGATGCACAACCCTGCTGTTCATTTCATTGCTCGGTGCACGTCTTCATTCCATTTACGCCCCAAACACATAGCACGCACCTTATATGCCCTTACCTGTCAGGTGCGGTGTGATGCATTGAGGATGTGCCTCCAGTGCACAAGGAACAAGGCAGGGAACCTTCTCTGGGCGCTCCCTTCATCATGGAGAAGATGGGCACAGAATGCGTGGTGGAATGAGCCCTGGAAAGTCAGCAGGTGCCAGGCAGCGGAGGATGGACCTATCCTTGAGGTGTGGGTGAAGTTTTGTGTGTCCCTGGCCTGTACCCCCATCTTGGGCAACTTCTTTTATTTGTATTTATTTATTTATTTTAAGAAGAAGTCTCCTTCTGTTACCCAGGCTGGAGTGCAGTGGCACGATCTCTGCTCACTGCAACCTCCCTCTCCTGGGTTCAAGTGATTTCCGGCTAATTTTTGTATTTTTAGTAGGGACAGTGTTTCACCATGTTGGCCAGGCTGGTCTCGAACTCCTGACCTCAAGTGGTCCACCCCCTTCGGCCTCCCAAAGTGTTAGGATTACAGGTGTGAGCCATTGTGCCGGCCTATTTATTTATTTTTAGACACGGAGTCTCTTTCTGTCGCCCAGGTTGGAGTGCAGTGGTGAAATCATAGCTCACTGCAGCCTGGAACGCCTGGGCTCAAGCAATCCTCCCACCTCAGCCTTCCAAGTAGCTGGGACTAACCGGCCCGAGCCATCACACCCAGCTAATTTTTGTTTTTTTGTTTTTTGTTTTTTGTTTTTCCATAGCTTGCTATGTTGCCCAGACTGGTCTCAAACTCCTGGGCTCAAATGATCCTCCTTCCTCAGTCTCCCAAAGCGCTGGGATTACAGGTGTGAGCCATGGCGGCTGGCCAACCTTGGGTGATTTCTGAGCTCCATTCAGTTCCACCCCCACTGCCAGACCAAATGGAGGGCAAGATAAAGAGTTTCCAGAATTGGGCTAGGAAGATAGGTTGGGAGCTGGGAATAATTCCAACTCTGGTCTTTTTTTTTTTTTTTTTTTTTTTGAAATGGAGTGTCACTCTGTCATCCAGGCTGGAGTGCAGTAGCATGATCTTGACTCACTGCAACCTCCGCCTCCTAGATTCAATTGATTCTCCTACCTCAGCCTCCCAAGTAGCTGGGATTACAGGCATGTGCCACCATGCCAGGCTAATTTTTGATTTTTTTTTTTTTTTTTTCAGTAGAAACAGGGTTTCACCATGTGGGTCAGGCTGGTCTTGAACTCCTGACCTCAAATGATTTGCCTGCCTCAGGCTCCCAAAGTGTGGCATGAGCCACTGCACCCGGCCAGGTTTTGTTTTTTATTTTTTGTTTTTTGTTTTTTTGAGACAGAGTTTCGCTCTTGTTGCCCAGGCAGGAGTGCAATGGTGTGATCTCGGCTCACCGCAACCTCCACCTCCCGGGTTCAGGCAATTCTCCTGCCTCAGCCTCCCAAGTAGCTGGGATTACAGGCATGTGCCACCACGCCCGGCTAATTTTGTATTTTTAGTAGAGACTGGGTTTCTCCATGTTGGTCAAGCTGGTCTCGAACTCCCATCCTCAGGTGATCTGCCCACCTCAGCCTCCCAAAGTGCTGGGATTACAGGCGTGAGCCACCGCGCCCATCCTCAGCAGGTATATTCTGAAGGTGGAGCAGATGGATTGGAAGTGGGATACGAGGGAAAGAGGCAAGTCAAAATTTGTGACCTGAGTGAGCCCCTGGAAGGATGGAGAGGATGGAGAGGGGGCAGTTTTGTAGGTTAGATCCAAGCCTTTGGTTTGATATGTCCAAGTGGAGGCATGAAGCTGGTGCCGGGGAGAGGTTCAGGCTGGCTGAGAAATGGCTCAAATGAGCACAAATAGTCTCATTTATACTTTACGGTAACTCTGTGGGTGAAGGACTTTCTCTCTATCTTACAGAAGGCGCAAGGAAGGCTCCAGAACATGCCCAAGTAGTTTTAAAAATGTAGTTACAGGCCGGGCACAGTGGCTCACGTCTGTAATCCCAGTACTTTGGGAGGCCGAGGTGGGCAGATCACCTGAGGTTGGGAGTTCGACACCAGCCTGACAAACATGGAGAAACCCTGTCTGTACTAAAAATACAAAATTAGCCAGGCATGGTGGCACATGCTTGTAATCTCAGCTGCTCGGGAGGCTGAGGGAGGAGAATCGCTTGAACCTGGGAGTTGGAGGTTGCGGTGAGCCGAGATCGTGCCACTGCAATCCAGCCTGGAGATAGAGCAAGACTCCGTCTAAAAAAACAAAACAAAACAAAGGCCGGGCGCAGTGGCTCAAGCCTGTAATCCCAGCACTTTGGGAGGCCGAGACGGGCGGACCACGAGGTCAGGAGATCGAGACCATCCTGGCTAACACGGTGAAACCCTGTCTCTACTAAAAAATACAAAAAACTAGCCGGGTGAGGTGGCGGGCACCTGTAGTCCCAGCTACTCCGGAGGCTGAGGCAGGAGAATGGTGTAAACCCGGGAGGCGGAGTTTGCAGTGAGCTGAGATCCAGCCACTGCACTCCAGCCTGGGCGACAGAGCAAGACTCTGTCTCACAAAAAAAAAAATCTGAGCCAGGTCCCAGATTTGGGCTGGGAGGATACGGTGGGGATGGGGAATAATTCCAACTGTGGTCTTTTTTGTCACTCTGTTGCCCAGAATGGAGTATAGTGATGCAATCTCAGCTCACTGCAACCTCCGTTTCCTAGGTTCAAGCAATTCTCCTGCCTCAGCCTCCTGAGTAGCTGGGACTGCAGGCATGCAACACCACGCCTGGCTAATTTTTGTAGAGACAGGGTTTCACTTATGTTGCCCAGGCTGTTCTCAAACTCCCAGGCTCAAGCAATCCTCCCGCCTAGGTTTCTCAAAATGCTGGCATTACAGGCGTGAGCCACTGCATCTAGCCAGGCAGGACTATTTGAACGGCGCCAAGGCTAGGCTAGCATGGTGGGAGGCCAGGAGAGGATCTAGACTATATTCCCAGTGATACTAGGAACCCCAAGAGGGCTTTCCGAAGTGGGTGGCATGATCTTATTTGCATGTTTAAAAGATTATAGGGTTGGGCTTGGTGGTGTGATCCTGTATCCTAGCTGAGGCAGGAGGATTCACACACACAGGCTTGAGCCTAGGACTTCTGGGAAGTGGTGTGCTATGACCATCAATGTGGTGACTCCCGAGAGCAGGGGACCACCAGGTTGCCTAAGGAAGAGTCAACTGACCCAGGTTGGAAACAGAGCAGGTCAAAACTCCTGCGTTCATCAGTAGTGGAATCACATCTGTGAATAGCCACTGAGCTCCGGCCTGGGCAACAGAGCGAGACCCTGTCTCTAAAACAAAATGTTAAAATAAAAATAAATAAAATAGGCTGGGCACGGTGGCTCACACCTGTAATCCCAGCACTTTGGGAGGCTGGTGGATCATGAGGTCAGGAGATCGAGATCATCCTGGCTAACACAGTGAAACCCCATCTCTACTAAAAATACAAAAAATCAGCTGGGCCTGGTGGCGGGCCCCTGTAGCTACTCAGGAGGCTGAGGCAGGAGAATGGCATGAACCCGGGAGGCGGAGCTTGCAGTGAGCTGATATCTGGCCACTGCACTCCAGTCTGGGCAACAGACCGAGACTCCGTCTCAAAAACTAAATTAATTAAAAAATAAATAAATAAATAAATAAATAAAAGATTTGAGGAGTGCTCCCTCAATCAGTATAACACAGAATTACTATATGAGGCAGGGTGCAGTGTCTCACGCCTGTAATCACAGCACTTTGGGAGGCCAAGATGGGAGGTTCGCTTCAGTCCAGAAGTTCAAGACCAGCTTGGGCAACATAGTGAGACACGGTTTCCACAAAATATACAAACATTACCTGGGCAGGGTGGCTTGTATCTATAGTCCCAGTTACTCAGGGTTAGGGGCTGAGGTGAGAGGATCGCTTGAGCCTGGGAAGTCGAGGCTGCAGTGAGCTATGATTGCACCACTGCACTCCAGCCTGGGCGACAGAGCAAGACCCTGTCTCAAAAAAAAAAAAAAAAAAAAAAAAAAAAAAAAAAAAGCTGTATGATTCAGCAATTCCTCTCCTAGGTATAACCGAAAGAATTGAAAACAGCCTCTTAAACAGATACTTGTGCGTGGATGTTCCTAGCAGCACTACTCACCATAGTAAAAATGTTAAAACAACCCAAGTGTTTATCAGTAGATGAGCAGATAAACAAGATGTATACTCATACAATGGAATATTATTCAACCATTAAAAGGAAAGATGTCCTGGTACACACTACAACACGGATGAAACTTGAAAACACCATGCTCAAAAGAAGCCAGGCACAAAAGGTCTCATAGTGTACTATTACATGTTCTATTTATATGAAATTTATATGAAATGTCCAGAACAGGTAAATCCACAGAGACAGAAAGCAGATGAGTGGTTGCCCAGGGCTGGGGAAGGAGGAAATGGGGAGTGACTGCTAACAGGTGTGAGTTTTCTTTAGGGGATGATGAAAAATGTCTTGGAACTAGACATGATGAATGTTCTATGACATGACATGACATTGTCCACCTTAAAATGGTTGGTGGTTAATTTCTTGCTGTGGGAATTTTACCTCAATTGAAAATGCTGGCCAGCGGGCATGGTGGCTCATGCCTGTAATCCCAGCACTTTGGGAGGCCGAGGCAGGTGGATCACGAGGTTAGGAGTTCAAGACCAGCCTGGCCAAGATGGTGAAACACCGTCTCCACTAAAACTACAAAAATTAGCCAGGCATGGTGGCAGGCGCCTTTAATCCCAGCTGCTCGGGAGCCTGAGGCAGGAGAATCTCTTGAACCCAGGAGGCAGAGGTTGCAGCGAGCTGAGATTGTGCCACTGCACTCCAACCTGGACAACAGAGTGAGACTCTGTCTCAAAAAAAAAAAAAAAAGTGCTAGGGGCCGGGCATGGTGTCTTAGACTTGTAATCCCAGCACTTTGGGAGGGAGAGGCTGGCGAATAACTTGAGGCCAGGAGTTTGAGATCAGCCTGGCCAACATGGAGAAACCCCATCTCTACTAAAAATACAAAAAAAGCCAGGAGTGGTGGCGCATGCCTGTAGTCCCAGCTACTCAGGAGGCTGAGGCAGGAGAATCACTTGAACCCAGGAGTGGAAGTTGCTATCTGGGAGGCTGAACTGGGAGGATCACTTGAGCCTGGGAATTAGAGGCTGCAGTGAGCTATGATTACAACACTGCACTCCAGCCTGGGTGACCGAGCGAGACCCCTATCTCTTAAAAAGAAATTATTTATTATTATTATTATTATTTTTTAATTATACAGGTCGGCTGGGCGCAGTGACTCATGCCTGTAATCCCAGCACTTTGGGAGGTAAAGGCCGGAGGATCGCTTGAGCCCAGGATTTCGAGACCAGCCTAGGCAGCATCGTGAGACCTGGTCTCTAAATAAATAAATAAATAAATAAATAAATAAATAAATTATATAGGCGATTTGAGAGGGAGCCAGGAGATTCGGAAGGTGATCACCACTATCATCCAGGTGAGAGGCAGGTGATGGAGGCCCAGAACAGGATGCTAGGGGAAAACGGTAGGTTTGGGGCATGTCTTAGGGGCAGAGTCAACCCCTTACTTTGCACCCCCCTTGAACTCTGCTCATATTACTTCCTCATCACTCCATTGAAAATGCAGGCCGGGCGCGGTGGCTCAAGCCTGTAATCCCAGCACTGTGGGAGGCCGAGACAGGCGGATCACGAGGTCAGGAGATCGAGACCATCCTGGCTAACACAGTGAAACCCCGTCTCTACTAAAAAATACAAAAAAACTAGCCGGGCGAGGTGGCGGGCGCCTGTAGTCCCAGCTACTCGGGAGGCTGAGGCAGGAGAATGGCGTAAACCCGGGAGGCAGAGCTTACAGTGAGGTGAGATCCGGCCACTGCACTCCAGCCTGGGCGACAGAGCGACGCCCCGTCTCAAAAAAAAAAGGCCTGGCGCGGTGGCTCACGCCTATAATTCCAGCACTTTGGGAAGTTGAGGTAGGTGGATCACCTGAGGTCGGGAGTTCGAGACCAGCTTGACCTACATGGAGAAACCCCGTCTCTACTAAAAATACAAAAAATTAGCCAGGTGTGGTGATGCATGCCTGTAATCCCAGCTACTCGGGAGGCTGAAGCAGGAGAATCGCTTGAACCTGGGAGGCGGAGGTTGCAGTGAGCCGAGATCAGGCCATTTTTTCCAGCCTAGGTAACAAGAGTGAAACTCTGTCTCAAAAAAGAAAAAGAAAAAAAGAAAACTGCAAACACCCCCACCCTTCTCACTCACTTGATCCCCTCTCCCCTTTATCTCTCCCCAGCCCCAGAGATGGGGGGTCTCACTATGTTGTCCAGGCTGGTCTCGAACTCCTGGTCCCCACAGCATATCCTGACCTAGTTTCGTTTTCATTCATTTATTTGTCTCCCTCACTAGAATACCAACTCCCCAGGCCAGGGATGTTTGTTTCTTGTTCACTGCGGTCTACCCAGAGCCTAGGACCTGTCCTGGCACATAGTAGGCAATCAGGAGAAAGCGGGGGAGTGCAGGAAAGCGAGAATCCCGGAAGCCGTCGGGTTCCAGCCTGAGCAGCAGGCGGGCGTTTAAGTGGAGGCGGATTCCTAGTTAGGCACTAGCTGGAAGGGGAGCCCGGCTTGGCTGCGCTTCCTTCCCCGGCCGCTAGGGGCCGCTTCCCCGCTGCTCTGCGGCCGCCAGGTGAGGGGGCCCCGCCCCTTCTCCCCAAGTGCCCAGGAGGGGCAGCCCGGGGAAGGGAGGGGGGTGATGAGCGCAGAGCTGGGGGAGTTGGGCTGTGAGGGGGCAAAGTTGGGGTGAAGGGAGACAGCTGAGCGTGTTTGAGGTGGGGGCTGCTGAAAGGAAGGGGAAAATGCGTGGGGAGGTTGGGAGCTGTGAGGTGGTGAGGAGACAGCCCTGTGCTAGAGAGAGAGGAGTTGAGAGTTGAGGGAGGTGCGGGAAGATGGGTGAGCAGCTGGGGAGTCCGGGAAAGTCTGGCAGGGGGAAGGCCTTGCCCTGGTGGCTCCACTGGAGGAAATTTGGACCATGCATGGAAAAGACCGGGACGATTGAAGGGGTGGGATTGGCCTGTGGGGTGAGGATCCCAGGGAAGGAGCCCTAAGCTTTGCTGGACTTTGACTTGGCCAGTGTGTTCTGGGGAGGAGGAGGGATTTCTCAGACCCTGATCCTTGGGACCAGCAACAGGGAGGGACTTCCCCACTGAGGAGTGAGATGTGCCTGGCAAGCTCACCAGATAGCTTCTGCAGAACGTGTGACCCGTAAGTGGCTTATTCAACCTGACACTGACTCTCCCTCTCTCTCCTTCATGCCCCAGGGCCAGGATTCATTGTGTAATGAATTGAGTGGTGGGAAAACAGCAATGAATGAGACAGATCCAGTCCCGGCACAAAGAAGGCTGTCCAGACCGGGGGAAGTGACAGGTAAACTGAGGCAGGGACCTGCTGGCTTTAAATAGCAGTCCCCCTTGTGGTGATCTGGGCAGAGAGGACCACTCATATGGAGGCTCTGAGGGTGTTACCAAGAACAAAGCCGGCAGGCGATAGGGAGTGGTGGGGTCTGTGGCAACCCAGAAATGCCTGCCAGGTCTAAAGGGATCAAGGTGGGTGTGGTGGAATGGAGAAAGGTTGGGAAGGGGGTTGGGACTAGGAGTGAGGGGTTATAGGTGAGTCCCAGAGAGGTAGAGGTGATGGCCACGGGAAGGTAGAAGGTGACTCCTAACCTTACATGAGCTCATTTCAGGGGACACAAAAGCCAAATGCTGACCAGGGAATGAAAATGCAGAAATTGGGCAGGTGCGAGGCAGTGGTAAAGAACAGGGTAGCTGAAGTTGCACCCCCCTTTTCCATGGGCACCCGCTTGCTACCACTCAGCTCCAGCTGTGCGCTCCCACGTGGGAACTCAGGCTCAATGTTGCCAGAATAGCTTCTTCAAGAGAAGCCAGAAATCACGGTTGTTGTGCAAAATTCCCTGAGTTTTAAATATCCCATGGGGATCTACTAAAGTTAAATTGCTTCAACCCAGCAATTCCATTCCTGGGTTGATTCCCAGTGGAAGCGGGAGCTTAGGTTCACCTAAAGACACATCCATGGATGTGCCTAGCAGCTTCATTCATGATCGCCAGACACCGGACACCCCCTAAGTTGACCATCAACTGGCAAGCGGAAAACAAATGGGAGGACATTCCTATAATGGAATATAACACAGCAATGAAAAAGAATAAACTACTAATGCATTCACAGCATGGATGAATCCCAGAGACATAATGCTCAGTAGGAGAAGCAAGATACAAAGAGAATACCCCGAGTGATCCCATTCCTGTGTTGTTCAAGGCCAGGCAGAAGTAACCTATGAAGAGAGTTGGGGAAGCCCAGGGTTTCCTAACTTCGGCCTCATTGACATTTGTGACTAAGTGATTCTGTGTGATGGGGGCTGTCCTGTGCACTGTAGGATGTTAAGCAGAATCCCTGGCCTCCAACCATTACTTACCAGCAGCACCCCCTGAGTTGTGACAAATGTCTGTTGTTAGGGGCATAATCACCATCAGATGAGAGCCACTGGGCTGGGCGTGGTGGCTCACACCTGTAATCCCAGCACTTTGGGAGGCCTGTAATCCCAGCACTTTGGGAGGCTGAGGCGGGTGGATCACTTGAGGTCAGGAGTTCAAGACTAGCCTGGCCAACATGGTGAAACCCTGTCTCTACTAAAAATACAAAAAAATTGGCTGATTATGGTGGCATGCGCTTATAGTCCCAGCTGCTTGGGAGGCTGAGGCAGGAGAATCACTTGAACCCAGGAGGCAGAGGTTGCAATGAACAAAGATCGCACCACTGCACTCCAGCCTGGGTCACAGAGCAAGACTATGTCTCAAAAAAAAAAAAAAAAAAAAAAGCCACTGGCTTAGTGACGTTTTGAGGCAGACCACTTCCTGGAAGGTAGCCCAGGGAGCCTCCCAGGAGACTGGAATGTTCTTCATCTTGAACTAGGTGGCAGTGATAAGGGTGAAATGTATTTCAAAAATCCACGGACCTATGCCCCTAAAATTTATGTGTTTCACAATAAAGGCATTAACTCTACAGCATGGATGACCCTTGGAAACATTTGGAAAAGTGAAAGAAGCCGGACACAGCGGGTCACATAGGGTATGACTTCCTTTGTATGAAATGCCCAGAACAGGTAAACACATAGAGACAGAAACAGATTGGTGGTTGCCAGGGGTTGGGGGATGGGGAATGGAGATTGACTGCTAGTGGGGATAGGGCTTCTTTTGGGGGTGATGGAAATGTTCTGTAATTAGAGGTGATACTTGCACAACTCTTTGAGTATACAAAAGTCCAGTGAATTGTACATTTTAAAATGTACAGTTGGGGCCAGGTGCAGTGACTCATGCCTGTAATCTCAGAACTTTGGGAGGCCAAGGTGGGCGGATCACTTGAGGTCAGGAGTTCAAGACCAGCCTGGCCAATATGGTGAAACCCCATCTCTACTAAAAATACAAAAATTAGCCAGGCATGGTGGCGCGCACCTGTAGTCCAGCTACTCAGGAGGCTGAGGCAAGAGAATCACTTGAACCCAGGAGGCAGAGGTTGCAACGAGCAAATATCACGCCACTGCACTCCAGCCTGGGTATCACAGCAAGACTCTGTCTCAAAAAACAAAAACAAAAAAATGTACAATTAATCTTGGCTGGGCACAGTGGCTCATGCCTGTAATCCTAACACTTTGAGAAGCAGAGGCGGGAGGATTGCTTGAGCCCAGGAGTTCAAGACCAGCCTAGGCAACATAGCAAGACCACACCTCTGCAAAAAAAAAAATTTTCTTTTTTTTTTTTTTTTTTTTGAGACAGAGTCTTGCTGTGTCGCCCAGGCTGGGGTGCAGTGGTGCGATCTTGGCTCATTGCAACCTCTGCCTCCCGGATTCAAGCGATTCTCCTGCCTCAGCCTCCCGAGCAGCTGGGATTACAAGTGCATGCCACCACACCTGGCTGATTTTTGTATTTTTAGTAGAGACGAAGTTTCACCATGTTGGCCAGGCTGGTCTTGAACTCCTGACCTCAGGTGATCCACCCAACTCAGCCTCCCAAAGTGCTGGAATTACAGGCGTGAGCCACAGTGCCTGGCAAAAAAAAATTTTTTAATTAGTTGGGCAACGTGAAGCCTGCCTGTAATCCCAGCTACTTGGGAGGCTGAGATGGGAGGATCGCCTGAGCGCAGGGGTTTGAGGTTGCAGTGAGCTATGACTGCACCACTGCACCCCAGCCCGGGGAAACAGAGAGAGAGACTCCGTTTCTAAAAATAATGTAAAATAAAATGGCGAGTGTTATGTTAGGTGAATTTTATCCGAAAAAGGAATTTTAAAAAAAATTTTTTAATTTTTTTAAAAGAAGGAATTTTTTAAAAACAAGGAGTTAATCATATGGGCCAAACAAAACACATCCGGGGCCAGCTTGGCCCCAAGGCTGTAGTCACTTGGGAATGGAGGGAAAGGAAGGGGATGGGGTAAGGGGGGGCTCGGAGGTAATGCACCATCCAGGAGTTGTGGGCGTTCTTGGTGAAGGGTGGGGGATGAAGCAACTTGGAGGCAAAAGAAAGTATGTCTCGGCTCAGGGGAGCGCTCCCTCTTAACCCAACCTGTCAGCCCTGGAAAGAAATCAGCCACGGGTCGGAGGCCAGCCAGCGAACTGTCGAAGGAAGTGCAGAGTTCTGACGGGTGAGAGAGAAATGACAACCGCTCAGCCCCGCCCTGCCTGACACCCTGGCGGTGGCGTGATGAAGTGGTGCTTGCCGGGGCGGGCGGAGGATGCTCTCTGCGAGCTTGCGGGAAAGTGGGGGTGCTCACCCGAGTTCTTCTGCAGTGTGAAGACCTTTCGGCCTCCCTGGAAACAGAGGGCGGATGGCGTGGCATTTGCCCCTACCCATCCCTCATGGAGGGAAAGCTATTCCCGTGGGTGCAAGGAGGAGAGAGGACAGCGGGCTTCTGGGGGCACAGCTGGGGGTGCGTGGTCTGAGTCTCCACTGGTTTCAGAAAACTGAATGATGGCTGGGCGCGGTGGCTCACGCCTGTAATCCTAGCACTTTGGGAGGCTGAGGCGGGCAGATCACTGGACGTCAGGAGTTCCAGACCAGCCTGGCCAACAGAGTGAAACCCTGTCTCTACCAAAAATACAAAAATTAGCCGGGTGTGGTGGCAGGTGCCTGTAATCCCAACTACTCGGGATGCTGAGGCAGGAGAATTGCTTGAATCCGGGAGGCGGAGGTTACAATGACCCAAGATTGCACCACTGCACTCCAGCCTGGGCGACAGAGGGAGACTCCACCCAAAAAACAATAAAATAAAATTTAAAAATGAATGAATGAAGAGAGATAGAAAGAAAATTAAGGATGCCAGGCATGGTGGCTCATGTCTGTAATCCCAGCACTTTGGGAGGCTGAGGCGGGCAGATCACTGGAGGTCAGGAGTTTGAGACCAGCCTGGCCAACCTGGTGAAACCCTGTCTCTACCAAAAAGTACAAAAACTAGCCAGGCATGGTGGCACACGCCTGTAGTCCCAGTTACTCGGGAGGCTGAGGCAGGAGAATAGCGTGAACCTGGGAGGCGGAGCTTGCAGTGAGCTGAGATCTCACCACTGCACTCCAGCCTGGGCGACAGAGCAAGACCTTGTCCCACAGAAAAAAAAAAAAAAAAGAAAGAAAAGAAAGTTAAGGCCTCCTGAGTAGCTGGGACTACACGCACACACCACCACACACAGCTAACTTTCACATTTTTTGCAGAGATAGCGTTTTGCCATGTTGCCCAAGGTGGTCTTAAACTCCTGGCTCAAGTAATCCTCCTGCCTCAGCCTCCCAAAGTGCTGGGATTATAGGCGTGAGCCACTGCACCTGGCTTGCATATAACTTTGGACTTCCCAAAAACGTAACTACTAATAGCCTATGGTTGATCCAAAGCCTTACCAATGACATCAACAATCCGTGAACTCGTATTCTGTATGTTCTAAATATCATATACTGTATTCTTACAGTAAAGTAAACTAGAGAAAAGAAATGTTATGAAAATCATGAGAAAGAGAAAATGTGTTTACTGTTCATGAAGTGGAAGTGGATTATCATAACGGTCTTCATCCACAAGTCTTCCAATGGAGTAGGCTGAGGAGGAAGAGGAAGAGGAGGAGCTGTCTCAGGGGTGGCAGAGGCGGAAGTACATCCACTTACAAGGGGACTCATGCAGTTATGGCTCAAGCCCATGTTGTTCAAAGGTCAACTGTAATAGAATTTTTTCTTTTTTTTTTTGAGGTGGAGTCTTGCTCTGTCACCCAGGCTGGAGTGCAGTGACGGGAACTCAGCTCACTGCAACGTCGGTCTCCCAGGTTTAAGCGATTCTCCTGTCTCAGTCTCCCAAGTACCTGGGATTACAGGCACCCACCACCATGCCTGGCTAATTTTTGTATTTTTAATAGAGACAGGGTTTTGCCATGTTGACCAGGCTGGTCTGAAACTCCTGACCTCAGGTGATCTGCTCACCTTGGTCTCCCAAAGTGCTGGAATTACATGTGTGAGCCACTGTGCTCAGCCAGTAGAAATGTATTGCTTACAGTTCTGGAGGCCGGGAAGTCCAAGATCAAGGCATCAGCAGATTTGGTGTCTGGTGAGAAGCCACCCTCTGCCTCCAAGATGATACCTTGTTGCTTCATCCTCTATAGGGGGATGAACACTATGTCCTCACAGGGAGGAAGGGATGGAAAGGCAAGAGACTAACTCTTCCTCAAGTGATTTTTTTTGTCTGTTTTGTTTTGTTTTGTTTTGTTTTTTTTGAGACGGAGTCTCGCTCTGCCGCCCAGGCTGGAGTGCAGTGGCCGGATCTCAGCTCACTGCAAGCTCCGCCTCCCGGGTTCACACCATTCTCCTGCCTCAGCCTCCCGAGTAGTTGGGACTACAGGCGCCCGCCACCGCGCCCAGCTAGTTTTTTGTATTTTTTAGTAGAGACGGGGTTTCACCGTGTTAGCCAGGATGGTCTCGATCTCCTGACCTCGTGATCCGCCCGTCTCGGCCTCCCAAAGTGCTGGGATTACAGGCTTGAGCCACCGCGCCCGGCCTTTGTTTTGTTTTTTGAGACAGAGTTTCGCTCTTTCGCCCAGGCTGGAGTTAAGTGGTGCAATCTTGGCTCACTGCAACCTCCACCCCTCAGGTTCAAGAGATTTTCCTGCCTCAGCCTCCCTAGTAGCTGGGATTACAGGCGTGCACCACCATGCCTGGCTAATTTTTGTATTTTTAATAGAGATGGGGTTTTGCCATGTTGGCCAGGCTGTTCTTGAACTCCTGACCTCAGGTGATCCACCCGCCTCAGCCTCGCAAAGTGCTAGGATTATAGGTGTGAACCACCGCACCTGGCCAAGAGAGTTATTTTTATTTTATTTATTTGTTTATTTGAGACAAGATCTGGTTCTGTTACCCAGGCTGGAGTGCAGTGGCATGATCTCGGCTCACTGCAACCTCCACCTCCTGGGCTCAAGCCATCCTCCCACCTCAGCCTCCCAGGGAGCAGCTGGGACTACAGGTGGGCACCATTACACCCAGCTGATTTTTTTTTTCTTTTTTTTTTTTTTTTTTTTTGAGACGGAGTCTCACTCTGTAGCCCGGGCTGGAGTGCAGTGGCCGGATCTCAGCTCACTGCAAGCTCCGCCTCCCAGGTTTACGCCATTCTCCTACCTCAACCTCCTGAGTAGCTGGGACTACAGGCGCCCGCCACCTCGCCCGGCTAGTTTTTTGTATTTTTTTAGTAGAGACGGGGTTTCACGGTGTTCGTCAGGATGATCTCGATCTCCCGACCTCGTGATCCGCCCGTCTCGGCCTCCCAAAGTGCTGGGATTACAGGCTTGAGCCACCGCGCCCGGCCTATTTTTTTTTTTTTTTTCTTTCAGACGGAGTGTCACTCTGTCACCAGGCTGGAGTGCAGTGGCGTGTCTCGGCTCACCGCAACCTCCGCCTCCCAGGTTCAAGCAATTCTCCGGCCTCAGCCTCCCAAGTAACTGGGATTACAGGTGCCTGCCACCATGCCCGGCTAATTTTCTGTATTTTTAGTAGAGACAGGGTTTCACCATGTTGGCCAGGATGGTCTTAATCTACTGATGTTTGATCCACCCGCCTCGACCTCCCAAAGTGCAGGGATTACAGGTGTGAGCCACCGCGCCCGGCCGATTTTTGTATTTTTTGTAGAGATAGGGTTTGTCATGTTGTCTAGGCTGGTATCAAACTAGTGAGCTCAAGTGATCTGTCCACCTTGGCCTCCCAAATTGCTGGGATTACAGGCGTGTGCCCCTGCGCCTGGCCTATTTACTTATTTCTTTTTCCAATTTTTTTGTGTACTCAGTACTCAGTGTTTAGCTAACACTTATAAGTGAGAACTGCGGTATTTGGTTTTCTGTTCCTACATTAGTTGGCTTAGGAGAATGGCCTCCAGCTCCATCCATGTTGCTGCGAAGGATATGATCTCATTCTTTTTTTTTTTTTTTGAGACAGTCTCATTCTGTCACCCAGGCTGAAGTGCAGTCTTGTGACCTCGGCTCACTGCAACCTCCACCTCCCAGGTTCAAGCAATTCTCCTGCCTCAGCCTCTTGAGTAGCTGGGACTACAGGCACCTGCTACAATAGCCAGCTAATTTTTGTATTTTTTTGTAGAGATGGAGTTTTGCCATGTTAGCTAGGCTGGTCTCGAACTCCTGGCCTCAAGTGATCCACCCGCCTTGTCTTCCCAAAATGCTGGGCAGGCATGAGCCACTATGCCTGGCTTCATTCTTTTTTAATGGGTGCATAGTATTCCATGGTGCGTAAGTACCACATTTTCTTTTTTTTTTTTTTTTTTTTTTTTTGAGACGGAGTCTGGCTCTGTCACCCAGGCTGGAGTGCAGTGGCCGGATCTCAGCTCACTGCAAGCTCTGCCTCCCGGGTTCACGCCATTCTCCTGCCTCAGCCTCCCGAGTAGCTGGGACTACAGGTGCCTGCCACCTCGCCCGGCTAGTTTTTTGTATTTTTTAGTAGAGACGGGGTTTCACCGTGTTAGCCAGGATGGTCTCGATCTCCTGACCTCGTGATACGCCCGCCTCGGCCTCCCAAAGTGCTGGGATTACAGGCTTGAGCCACCGCGCCCGGCCAAGTACCACATTTTTTTTTATCCAGTCCTCCATTGACGGGTGCCTAGGCTGATTCCATGTCTTTGCTATTGTGAATAGTGCTGCAATGAACATACATGTGCATGTGTTTTTATAGTAGAACAATTTATATTCCTTTGAGTATATAATCAGTAATGGGATTGCTGGGTCAAATAAAATAGAAGAATTTTAAATTGTTTGAGAAATCTCCAAACTGTCACACTCTATTATAAGGGCAATAATCCCACCCGTGAGAATGGGGCCTTCCTGGCCCAATCACCTCCCAAGAGCCCCAACTCTTCCAACATTCGGATTTGGAAGGGACACAGACATTCAAACCATAGCAGTGACCTTATTTGGACAAAGAGTTTTTGCAGATGTAATTAAGTTAAGGATTTTGCAATGAGATCATCCTGGATTAGGGTGGCCCGAAATCCAATGATAAATGACCTTAGAAGAGAAGGGGGGAAGACACAGAGGAGAAGGCCAAGTGAAGACAGAGGCAGGGCTTGGAGCAATACAGCCACAAGCAAGGAACCATCAGAGGCTGGAAGAAGAAAGGGTGAATCCTCGCCTAGTGCCTTCGGCGGGATTGCAGCCCTGCGCCGCCCTGATTGCAACCTCTGGCCTCCGGAATGGTGAAATAATAAATTCTTGTTGTTTTCAGCCACCTAGTTTATGGTAATGTATTTCAGCAGCCCCAGGAAATGAACACAGGCCCTGATATCCAATTCCACAGGCACCTGAGGAAGCGTCTGGAGAGGTCCACGGTGCAGCGGGGAGGGAGGGAAACTCGAAAATGGGGAGTGTTGAGAAACAGATGGGCAGTGAGGTGGAGCACCAACCAGAGAGCCTTTTTTTTTTTTTTTTTTTTTTTTAAAGACAGGGTCTCTCTTCGTCACCCAGGCTAGAAAGCAGTGCCGCAGACGACCTCCTGGGTTCAAGCGATCCTCCTGCCTCAGCCTCCCGAGTAGCTGGGACTACAGGCATGTGCTACCATGCACGGCTAATTATTTATTTATTTTTTGTAGAGATGGGGTGTGGCTATGTTGCCCGGGCTAGTCTTGAGCTCCTGGCTTCAAGCAATCCTCCTGTCTTGGCCGCCCAAAGTGCTGAGATTACAGGCGTGAGCCACTGCACCCAGACTGGGGAACCTCTTTATGGCAGAGGTGATGACCCAGAACTGAGCCTGGAGAAGGCAACAAACCTACAGGGACAGACAGTAGGTCTGTCCAAGCAGCCAAGGTAAAAAGACTGCACCAGCAATGGAACAACTTCAGTGTCAGGGAGACAGTAAGGAGGGGTGGGACTATGGCAAACAATGATAAGAATGAGTAATATTAATCAGCACTTGCTAAGCCCACTCCTTATATAGTATGAACTCACTCAATTCGTTTTTTTTGCTTTTGTTTTTGAGACAAATCTTGCTATATCGCCCAGGTTGGAGTGCAGTAGCGCAATCTCGGTTCACCGCAACCTCTGTCTGCTGGGTTCAAGCAATTCTCCTGCCTCAGCCTCCCGAGTAGCTGGGATTACAAGCATGTGCCACCACACCTGGCTAATTTTTGCATTTTTAGTATAGACAGAGTTTCACCATGTTGGCCAAGCTGGTCTCGAACTCCTGACCTCAGGTGATCTGCCCACCTAGGCTTCCCAAAGTGCTGGGATTATAGGCGTGAGCCGCCGTGCCCAGCCAAGGTTTCGTCTTTATGGGAAGTCAGGCATCCAGATTTTTATGCAAAAATCACCTGAGGCCGGGCACTGGTGGCTCATGTCTGTAATTCCAGCACTTTGGGAGGCCGAGGGGGGCGAATCACTTGAGGTCAGGAATTCGAGGCCAGCCTGACCAACGTGGTGAAACCCCGTCTCTACTAAAAATAGAAAAAAATTAGCTGGGCCTGGTGGCGTTCACCCGTAATCCCAGCTACTTGGGAGGCTGAGGCAGGAGAATCACTTGAACCTGGGAGGCGGAGGTTGCATTGAGCAGAGATCACACCACTGCACTACAGCCTGGGCGACAGAGCGCGACGCCATCTCAAAAACACCATCACCACCACCAAAAAGGCAGCCTATATTTAAAAGCTAGCAAGTCATTACAAAATGTTTTTAAACCCTGCATGGACCAAACCACTTACATCTGTGGGCTGGATTCAGCTCTGGGGTGGACACAGAGGGAGGGGAGGGGCATTTGGTGAAGGTGACGCAAAGCATCATGGGTGAGCTGGGGACCACATGGGCCAGGGGGTTTGACTAGGCGGTGCCTAGGCAGGTGCCAGCATGTTTGTGAGGGCAGGCGGGGGGCGGGGGTGTGGTTTACACTGAACAGGTGTTTTGAGTCTAGGTTGGAAAGGACCTTTGGAGCCACACTAACATTTTTCAATTTTGAAGAAGTCGGTGATAGCTTTTAAACAGCTCAATGACTCAGTCATGCCTGTCTGTCCCCATCCCCCAATCCTGACACCCAGAAAGCTGTGAATCAGGCTTGCTTTGGGGGTGGAGGGACCGGGACCGTAGATCCATCCATGAAGGAAACAAACTAAACAGCCCCCGTCTTCCAGCGTGCTCACAGCCCGGCGAGGAGTAGGGGAAGGCGTCCTTAGTAAGGTTAGGATAGGATGGCAGGCGTGATGGTGGGACCGTGGCAGAGGGTTAGTGGCTGTCTGCAGATATGGCAGCCACTGCTATGTGTTCAATGCACTAAGGATGCAACGATGACCAGGACAGACATGGCCCTGCCTTCAAGGAAAAAGACCATGAAGGAGGAAGGAAATAAGGAGAGACGGTAATTCCAGGGGGTGATGAGAAAATGTAAAAATGAAAATAGGAGGATGGGGGATGGGACTCACATCCGGCAGCCTACCGGCCCAGAAGACAGAGCAGGTGGGCAGGAGGATGGAGGATGGGGCGCGGGGGTCCTCAGTGGTTCACAAGCCACCCCTTACTCCCTGGGACCCAGCAGCCTGCCTGGGCCTCCATCTCCCCAGAATCACCCTGTCACACCAAGAACAAACCCACAGCTGACATAGATTCCTGACTCCGAGCCCAAGCAAGGGGGAGAAAGGGGAGGAAAAAAACACCCATCTGTTCTTCCTCTGATGGAATGTGATTTTTCACCCAGTGCTTAAACCTCGAGCTTCTCCTCCCATTTCCTCTCGGCAGCCGCGGCGACGCGATATAAATCGCTGTAAATGGGTTTTCCCGGCCGGTTGCCGTGTTGTTTTAATAATGGTTCATTTTCTGCCTGGGGGGAAAAATAGTTGGTAAAGAAATTGAGGAGGAGGGGGATTCATTTTGTGTGTGTCTGTGTGTGATTGTGCTTGTGTGTGTGTATGTGTGTGTATCCCGTTGCCTCAGAGAAGATTCCCGAATATTCCACTGGGACACCAAGTGACCCATCCAGTTGGGGAATTGGGGAATTGCTGGTCAGAGAACCAGTGCATCCCCCTTGCCTGGACAAAAGGGATTCCTTTTCTTTTTTTTCTTGAGACTGAGTTTTGTTCTATTGCCCAGGCTGGAGTGCAGTGGTACAATCCCAGCTCACTGCAACCTCTGCCTCCCTGGTTCAAGCGATTTTCCTGCCTCAGTCTCCCGAGTAACTGGGATTACAGGCGCCCGCCAGCACGCCCAGCTAATGTTTGTATTTTTAGTAGAGACAGAGTTTCACCATATTGGCCAGGCTGATCTCGAACTCCTGACCTCACGTGATCTACCCACCTTGGCCTCCAAAAGTGCTGGGATTACAGGCGTGAACCGCTGTGCCTGGTCCAAAGTGATTCATTTGAAAACCTCCTGGGCACATATATTAAGCACTTACTGTGTGCTATGCCTGATTAGGTGCGTGGGATATGTAAATGAACAAATCTCCCAGGCCCTGACCTCCCTGGGGGCTCACATTCTAGAAGCAAAGAGAGCAACATTAAGACATGGCTCTGCCAAACTAGGTAATTACAATTGTGGAAACTGCTCTGAGGAGAATGTTGAGTGCCATGGGAATGGAAAACGGATCTTGGCAGGGCTGGGCTGAGCATGGTGGCTCACAACTACAATCCCAACACTTTGGGAGGCTGAGGCAGGAGGATCGCTTGAGGTCAGGAGTTTGAGACCAGCCTGGACCACATAGCGAGACTACCAACTCTAAAAAAATTTTAAAAATTAGCTGGGCGTGGTGACCCATGCTTTCTAGTCCCAGCTACTTGGGAGGCTGAGGCAAGAGGATCACTTGGACCTAAGAATTTAAGGCTGCAGTGAGCTATGATCACGCCATTGTACTCCAGCCTGGGCCACAGAGCAAGATCCCATCTCAAAAAAGAAAAGAAGGCTGGGCATAGTGGCTCATGCCTGTAATCCCAGCACTTTGGGTGGCCGAAGTGGGTGGATCACTTGAGGCCAAGAGTTCGAGACCAGCCTGGCCAACATGGTAAAACCCCGTCTCTACTAAAAATACAAAAATTATCCAGGTGTGGTGGCTCATACCTGTAATCCCAGCTACTCAGGAGGAGGAGGCAAGAGAAGTCCTTGAACCCGGGAGGCAGAGGTTGGAGTGAGCCAAGATTATGCCACTGCATTTCAGACTGAGCGACAGAGTGAAACTCTGTCAGAAGGGAAGGGGAGGGGAGGGGAGGGAAGAAGAGATCTTGGCATAACCCAAGCCCCCTTCAGAAGAGTCACCCTGGCTGCTACTTTAAGGACAGACAGACAGAGGGAGTTGTGGGAGGGAAGACCAGCCAGGTAGAGAGACGTCCTGGGCAAACTTCTAGAGGTTGAAAGAGTGTGATGTGGGCTCTGACCTGGGAGAACAGTCATGGAGCCAAGTCGAGGTAGCGGGGCGGGGGATGCTGGGGTCCTGGGGAATGGCATGGGGAGTGGCCAGAGGCTTGCGGACTTTTGTCTTGTTCCTGAGCAGAGTCTTCCATTCCTCCGGCATTGAGACTTTTTTTTTTTTTTGAGACAGGGTCTCACTCTGTTGCCCAGGCTGGAGTGCAGTGGTGCGATCTCTGCTCACTGCAGCCTCTGCCTCCAGGGTTCAAGTGATTCTCCCGCCTCAACTTTCCTAGTAGCTGGGATTACAGGCACCCACCACCACGGCAGTTAATTTTTATATTTTTAGTAGAGACAGGGTTTCACTATGTTGTCCAGGCTGGTCTTGAACTCCTGGCCTCAGGTGATTTGCCTACCTTGGCCTCTCAAGTGCTGGGATTACAGGCATGAGTTACCATATGCAGCCCCGTGTTGAAGCTTGACCACGAGCATATCCTATCCCATCCTGACACTGTCCTATGCCTATTCTGCCCTGGAGCAAGGGTTCTTGTTTTGCTCTTGTGGAAACAGTGGCTTTGGAGGTCGCTTTGTGTCTTACTCTATTTGGGCTACTATAACAAAATGCCATGGACTGGGTTGCTTATAGACAACAGATATTTATTGCTCACAGTTCTGGAGGCTGGGAAGTCCAAGATCAAAGTGCCAGCAGATTTGGTGTCTGGTGGGGGCTCTCTCTCCTTTTTTTTTTTTTTTTAATTTGAGACAGTCTCATTCTGTCACCTAGGTTGGAGTGCAGTGGCAACATCTGGGCTCACTGCAACCTCCACCTCCCAGGTTCAAGCGACTCTCCTGCCTAAGCCTCCCGAGTAGCTGGGATTGCAGGCAACCACCACCACGCCCAGCTAATA